CTAGCTTTCGTTTATGCCTTTTTTAAAAAAAAATCACTCTTCTGTTAAATGGTATGTTCAAAATGTATAGAATACTCACTATATAATTTTAAAAGAGTAAAGGTAGTAAATTCAGATGTTAACTCCTTTTTATAGATTCATTGGCTATAGGTGCATTAAACTTAAAACACTGTCCTAATTTTTGAAAAATGTGAACTCAAAAATGATTTCTAGATAGGAGTACCTATATCGCAGCTATTTCAAAGGTTGAGGCAGGAGAATCACTTGAGCCCAGGAGTTCAGGACCAGTGTCGGCAAAACAATGAGACTTCATCTCAGGAAAAAAAAAAAAGAAAGAACTTAAGGTCTGGGGTGGAGGGTGTAGGGAGTAGCTCAGTGGTAGAGTGAGTCTCCAGCACATGCAAGGCATTGGGTCCACTCTTCCTTGCCGAAGGAACCTTGTCAGTCAGGTTGGCCACTTGTCCTTTTGATTCTTGTCCTCTAGGATGTCAGCGGTGGAGGACCTGCTCGTTCCTACCCTGTTGGAGGCCTGTGTTATTACCTTTCTCCTCCTGAGTCCATGGGTGCAATATTTGAGGATCCTGTACATGTAGTTGTTTATATTATCTTCATGTTGGGGTCATGTGCATTTTTTTCTAAGACATGGATAGAGGTGTCTGGTTCCTCAGCCAAAGATGTAAGTATTTGGTTTACTTGAAAATAATTTTTTAAAAGTTCCTGATTTTTAGGTGCCAACATAATTAACAAGTTTCTACTTCTTAATTTAAGCTTTGTTTAGTGTATTACATTCTTAAATGAGGCAGCATCACCTGCAACGGGCTAGAAATGAGTTCTGGGAAGGTGAAAAATCTGACCAAACTCAACTCCATGCAACAAAATCTCCTTCCTTAGTGTTAAGTTTCTCCATAGGGGAAATTCATTACTACCTGTAAAGAAAGAGACTGAGAAACGGGCTTAACCTGTGTTTAACATGTAGTTCATGGCATTGAAGCCTCAGGTGTAACGGGAAGATGACAGTGCCAACCTGAAAGCTCTTCTGTATTGCTTTTGAGTATGTGGAGAGCACTTCACACAGGACTTGGTTGATAGTTATGGTGAAAGGTTGAGTTTGACAAAGTTTTTTTTCTTGGCAGGTAGCCAAACAGCTTAAAGAACAGCAAATGGTAATGAGGGGTCACAGAGATACCTCGATGGTTCATGAGCTTAATAGGTAAGCTCAGTAGAATTGTTCCTTTTTAGATTATTTCAAATTATTACATTTAGAAATAATATTGCAGTGAACATGCTAATAACTTCTGTCTACATGTTTTGGAGAGGGCACTCTCACTATGTAGTCCAGGCTGGCCTCAAACTGACTCAGCCTCATGGGGGGCTGGCAGGAATATGCCAGTGCTTGGGCTCACTTTTTTCTCTAGATAAGCCTAAGGACCCATTTGTCAAATAAGCTATAGTGCATCTACATTGTAGATTGCCATTAACCTAATAAAAGGGTAATGCAGGTCTGTACACTAATATTGGAAGATATTCAGACCCTTTGTTCATTTTTAGAGTTGTCTTTGTTAGTGAGTTTTAAAGAGTTGGGTTGTTTCCAAATAGAAGTCTCATCAGATACGATTTTCAAGTATTTTTTCCATCCTGTGGGTTTGCCTTTTTATTTTCTTGATGATGTCCTCTGATACATGTTTTTAATTTTGATAAAGCCCAATTATATTTTTTCTTTGGTTCCTTGGTGCTGCTGTTGGTATAATAGCTAAGAAAGCATTGCCAGAACTAAGGTCATGAAGATCAATTCCTATTTTCTCCTAGATTTGGCTGTTCCATGTGGGTCTGTGGCCACACAGATCTGAGTAGGATCCACACTTGCTATTTTGCATATGGCTGTCCAGCTGCCTCTGCACCATTTAAGGCACTAACACTTCTGTGAACCTTTGACTTACTCAGATCATATGTTGCAGAGGACAGTGTAACAAGCGTCCAACTTCAGAAACTATCACTCTGCCATTCTTAATGCACCTCCTGTCTCCCCTAATCTGTTTTCCCCGTTTTTTTCTTTCAGTATTAAAAAGAAACCCCATTTTATTTTTCTAAGTGATTTTAATGTGCAGCTAAGATTGAATTACTGTTGAAGCAGGTAATCAAAATTAGATGAATTTGCTGACACTTGGCATTTTGAAATTTAGGAAACTAAAGGTTACTTGTTTAAAAATATGAAGTATTTTAATACTTAAATCTTAGTCTGATTTAAGTATTCTCACCAGTCCTAAGAATTTTTTTTGGTACCGGAAATTGAACTCAGGACCTTGCACTTGCCAGACAGGCACTGTGCCACTGAGCTATATCCCTGGCAAACTTTTAAGTATTTTCTTTTTTTTGGTTAGGCTTTTTTGGGTTGTTTTTGATACCAGGAATCAAACTCAGGATCTCACACTTGGCCAGGCTGACTGTGCTGCTGAACTGTGTCCCTGACTTATCCTAAGAATTTTGCATTGCTTTTCTTAACTAAAACTATTGTTTTAAATGAGTCAGCAATTGCCTCAATCACTTTTTCACTGTCATCTGCAGCCCATTACTATTAGTCTATTTTGTGACTAGTTTCTTAGAGGACCTCCACTAGTGAGGCTTAGCATTTCTAACTGTTGTATCTCTTTTAGGTACATCCCCACCGCGGCTGCCTTTGGTGGTCTGTGCATTGGTGCCCTGTCGGTGTTGGCTGACTTCTTAGGGGCCATTGGGTCTGGCACTGGAATTCTGCTTGCAGTCACTATTATTTATCAGTATTTTGAAATATTTGTTAAGGAACAAGCTGAAGTTGGAGGCATGGGTGCTTTGTTTTTCTAAATGTTCAAATATTTCTTTTTGTGTGTGCGAAAGGGAAAATATTTTGACACATTCTTTTTTGTCAAATAATGCGGGTTCCCCTTTTATTCCCTCACAGTTCGTTTTCAAGTGCTAACTGTCCCATCTGTGAAATGGGCACCGAGCTAAGCCTGTGTGCAGCATTAGTACCAGCTGCCTTAAAACTACAGTTTACATTATTCATTTAAAAGGTACATCTAGTGTTGCCTGTAATGCTGGAAACCAATGTCTCTGCCTTGCTGTATTAAATCATGGGACGGTGACATGGGTTAGTTTTGCACACAACATTCAGAACACTTATTGTCCTCCCCTTGTTTAAAAATAAATGTAGTTCAAATTGCCACTTTCCAGTATTTTTGAGCTTATGTAATGAGTTCTGGAACATTTATATCTAATCTATATTTTAGATAATTACTTTTTATACTTTTTTAACTCATAGTATCCATGTACTCTTCCCTCCCATCTCCATCCCCACCCACTCTTTATTTCTCTTTTCCCAAAGCAGCCACTTGGCCCAAATGGACAGAATCAAGCATTGAAGTTCATTCTGTTGCTACAAACCATTGCTTTACTGTTCCTATTTTTTCATTCCTTCTCTCTTCCCAGGGACAGCATAACCTGTGCTGTTTGACTGTATTGGCTATGCCTTGTAATTCCAACCAGTCACTTGAGAATACTCTTTCAAGATAGTAGGCCCCAATTTTTTTCTTTTAATTCCCTAAAGCAAAGATCGAATTCTCAAGCAATGTCTGTAGTTCAGTGGGGGTGAACAATGAGTAATTCATGCTAGGAATTTGTGTCTTTTATTGTACTTAATAGCAGCAACAAGTGTGAACAGTAGACAATAAACTTTTATTTAATAAAACTGTTGTGGTTGTGTTGGAAAAATAAAGGAATCTGATATTATATGTTCTCTAAGGCTATTTGCATAAAGTGTGTGTACTTACAGAGCCCACCCTGAGATGCCTACTGTGAGTAGCCAAATGTAATTATTTTTCAGTGTTTAATTATAAATTATTGAGAAACAGTGGCTAATTTAAGATTACTCATTTGTGTTACTAATATTTGGAAAGGAATGGGAAGACAGTGGTCTCAAAACAATATCCTGGTCTCCATTGGAAATTGCATAGTTCTTTATAAATAATTCACTGTTTAGAATAAGGGTTGTATTTCCCTGAAAAAAAAAAAAATTTTTTTTCTTTAACATATTTTCTTAAGGTTTTTTTTGTTGTTATTATTACTTACTTTCTTAATTAAGGGCAGGAAGTATGTCTTACTTAGCTTAGGATCACAAAGCCAAAAGGATACAACAGATAAAAGCAAAAAGGATAGTAGCAATGGTCAACTAGTATACATCTCCCTAAGGCCTCTGATTATTGTTACCATAGAAGTATGGAACCAGTGGTAATTATATCATTTTCTTTAAAAGATAGAAACATGGCTGGCTGCCTACAGGAAACTGAATTTTTAAGTGTTGGCAAGTGAACTTACAAGTGCTAACCAGTGAAAACATCTAAAATGCCAGTTCTCAAACTATCTTACTCTCCAAGACATTTCCTTTGATGTTCACAGACGATCATGGCAATAGTTCTAAGCATTAGTTTTAGGAGTAGCTGTCCCCTCTAGTCGCTGTTTTAGGAAGAAAACAGAAAAGCCAGGTAGAGTTTATAGGACTCAGTCTTCCTCCAACATTTTAAGGTCATTCCCACTGGGAATGATTTTGGAAGAAATAGTATGTGTGGAGATGAATCCCTGGGAGCTCAGGGAAAAAGATGAAGTTCTTTGGAGAAGCATGCTCATGATGAGGAACTCGTACAGCAAATAATTCAATTAGGGAGGCCAAGGAAGTCTCTATGTCTCTCCTTTTCCAAAACTAGACACATTAATGCAGTACCCACCTATAGAATTTTTCACTTTAGGGAGGGATTGAGCATAGGAATCCTTCACCTAATTTAGATCTCAATTCTGCTTTCCTATAGATGTTCCCCTATCTTCTGGGCTAGGTTAAAAATGTAGAGGTTGAAGTTAAAAAAAAACTGGAGTAAAAATACTTGCATTTATGGTTTTATCATATGATCTAGAGTGTGATAGTTTAAATGAAGGTTACAGCCTACCTGTAATTATAATTCCATACCACCACCATATGCATTCTGTGCTCTTTTATTTTATCAAAAAGCTAATTTCAAATCTACATTAAGTTGAATACAGTCTTTGTGATGAAGGCCTGGTAGTCTCATTTACAAAAACATGGCCAGTGTTCTCTTTGGCCTAAAATTTCAGGAAGGGAACTTCAAATGGCTTCGTGGTTGCATGTTTCAGCGCGAGTGCATAGGAGTAGACTCTGGCATCCACTGTAAGATGTTCTTCAGCTACCAGAGCTACAGGAAGCAAATAATACAACTTAGGTAACATACTTAAAAATGGGCAGTACCACAAGTTAGTCAGCATTTTCTGAGTCACTGTTACATGCAAGTTCCTATGTGAGATGCTAGTGATGGCTTCAGAGATCTCCAAAGGAATAATAAAAAGCACTTGAGAGGCTGAGGTAGGAGGAGCACCCCAAATTCAAGGCCAGCAAGACCTTTTCCCACAAAAAAAGAACAAAAGCAGGATCACATGCCCAGCACAAGACAAACACAGTAGGGATAATGATTTTACAGACAACAAAGCTGTAAGTTTATAGTTCTGTTACACTTCATTTACAGTTCAGGCAGGCAAACTTTATAAACTCTAAAGTGATGATTGCATGGTATCTTGTTTATGCATCCGAGTGTCTCTTTTACCACTAGAGAGTACACATTTCCCCCTTGCAAGCTGAACTATGTCCATATTAGGGTATACTAAGGATATACTGGAAGAACACTATGAAGAATATGACCTAGAATCACCGCAGATCTTAGAACTTCAGTGTCACTGTGATGGAGACTGTCACTTGGTAGCTGTTTCCCTGGTCACTTACTTGAAAACAAGCTCAAACAGTGTGATCCTTGAAGGGCTCAACATCCTAGTCTCCTGTGTATGGCTGGGGATTGGTAGGAGCCGAACACAATACTCCTGTGGCATGGCCTTAAAGTACTTTGCTTACAGTCTCAAATGTTTCTTCTTAAATAAATTATTTGATTGCTGTATCTGGATTCTACTGAAACTAGGCAAACCTATTTCCTTTACCCTTCCCCGTTTTATTCCCCCTCTTCTAAGACCAGAAGGGAAGTTATGGTGGGACAGAAAAGATTAGAAAAGGATATTCTGCTTAGATAAAAATTAAAAAAAATATGGTAACATTCAAACACTTGGGTATCATTATCCCATTTAACTTTGCTGACACCTCTCAAAAGATAGAGGCTATTAATCCCTAGTTTTTTTTTTTAAGGCTTAGGCTAAAACCTGCTTAAAGTTGTAACTAGTAATGACTAGCTGAACCTCAAATCCAGTCAATCCTGTGTCAGATTCTGAGTTTATTATCTGTTACTCTCACAGATTTTCCTGAATAAATGTCCAATAAGTTCTCTCTTTAAAAAATTTTTGTTTTAAACCACGGCTTTGAGATCTTAAGGTAATCTTTTTAGGTCAAGTATTTTTAAAAGGTAAAGTAGGAACAGAGGTTCTCTGGGAATCTGAAATCACTGCTCCTTTTGAAAGACATCCACTTTTCAAACAAACAATATAGACATTTCAAACTAAAGGGCTCAGTTTATGAAATAAAACTAAGCCACAGCAGTCATGGAAGAATATAAGAACTGCTCTCCAAGTTTCAGATCAAACAATACTCAAGAAGTAATTATTTAAAAATAAAAATTAGGTATCAATAAAACAGTCACACTAGGAACAGACTCCTCTTCTTTATAAATGAGCAAATGGGGATCTATCCAGCCAGCACACAGGTGACCCTGGAAGGACAGGTCACATCTTCATTAACAGTATCTTCTCATGAAGTTGTATAAAAGAACATCTCACCACACAACAGGACTTTCACAGATGGGCTGGCCAAGAATTATACAATCTAACTACATGTCCAGTGGTACAAAGGTGACTTACCTGGTTTGACTCATTACATTAGCTTGTCATACTTAGTATACAGTAATTACTTCAAATACTTCAAGAATACTGTTAAATCCTCCTAAACTTATACCTTCCACAAAGAACTATCCAATATACCTAATAGTACAGTTGAAGAAAATCTAACAGATATCTGCTTTTAATTTTTCATTGCTATGGATTAAAAATTTAAAGTATAGAATCATTTTAGCTATTCAACAGGATAATAACTGACCATTCTATAGGAGAAAAATAGCTCCTACTAAAATATTTTACTTGACATAGAACGTTTTGCTCATATTTTTAAACTATATGCTACCTAATATTGTTAACTTCAGTTTTACAACAGTTTTTGGTACTTAACATTGATAAGAAAAAGAAAAGGAATTTAATACCTCAATTGCTGGGGATGGGAACAAGGTAAATAGTGAAGACAGAATAATCTTAAGAATGCTTACCATCAAGTCTATTCAGCAGGTCATTCTTTGGTAAAGAAATTACTTCCACAAATTCTAAACAAACAAAGTGCAAGTGAAAACAGAGCTGAAGAACAAGAGCCTACCAAATAACCCACAATGTCTGTTGCCATTACCACTATACTAAGCCATACACCTGTTCAGCCACTGGTAGTTGAGTAACATACCTCCATCCCCTGAAAATAAACAGAAGGAGAACACTGTTAGGAAGTCTGGAGTGATAAAGCTGGGAAGACTATAATGCAAGACAGCAAAATGACTAAGAATTTAGCAGACTTGAGTCTCTAGTAATTTATCTCATAGGAGAACAAATCCCAATAGTAAAAAGTTACTATTCTTCAAACTTAAAGCATATTCTGCAATGTCTTTATATATGTGTATTTCTTTTTTACATAAATATTTGTTATAATTCAGTGACATTGAGTAATATTTACAATGTTGTTCATTCACCACCACTATGAATCTCATAAGTGTTTCATCATCCCCAAACAAAAATTTCTCATCCCTGGTAATCTCTATTCTATGTTCTATCTATGAATTTGTCCATTCTGCATATTTCACATAAGTAAATCACACACCACTTGCTCTTCTGTGCCTGCCTTATTTCACTTGGCAAAATGTTTTCAAGGTTCACCCATATTGTAGCATTTCACTCTTATGGCTCAGTAATAGTCCACATCTAGTTTATCCATTCATTTATAGATAGACCTTTTAGGTGTTTCTGCTTTGGCTAATGTGACTGAAGTTAATAAAGTGGTGTATAAGTATCAGTCTGCTCTCAGTTCTTTTAGGTGTGCAAATGCAGAAGTAGTTCTATATTTACCTTTTTAAGGAATTGTCAAACTTTTCTACCATGTGTCATGTGTATATTTACAATTTTAAAATTAGGCATTTAAAGTTGGCTGTAATGGAATACTGAAACATAACAAATACTAAAGAGGGTAAGAAATTAAAGAATTACCACTCATACACGATTTACTCTGGTATACATATAAATACCCGTGTAAACAGGGGGAAGAGATGACCTGGAATTGAAAAAGGCATTCAACCCTTTGAATCCAAACTTGCTAAGAAATATATTAGAGCAAAGAATATCCTAACAGATTTTCTAGAAAATATAAACATCCATAAGGAATAATTGTTTACCAGCTGTTCTTTAACAATTACACCATGCTTACAATATACAGGAAAACAGAAACCCAAGTGATTTTGAAGTTTCTTACTATATTTAGACTTATAGCTCATATTACCAAGTGGAATAAACCTCATACAAAACACTGAACTGTGTAATCTAACATCTTATAAAAAATATTTAATTCAATCATTCTCAGTGAAGCCAAAACACACTTACCTGGCTTTGGCTTAGGTCTTACATTTTCTGCATCATCTCCATTGATTGTCACTGTCACAATATGTGTGGTACAGTTTGACAAACCTGGGTCCATACATACAACTATGGAAAGAAGCAACAATTCATCCTAAGAAACCATTTGGATGCTTAAGTCCTCTTTGAAATATATCTTACTACTTAAATGCCTAAGGAAGATGATACAGGGCCCAGGATTCACAGTTAACATAGAAATAATGCAGGAAAATTACAGCTATTCTATTCAATCAGTATATGTGGTAGTGTGAGTACAGAGCATATATGTACAAAGTTCCCAAACTCTTCTAGGAGCTCTTGAGTCAAGTTTGATAAGTCTGAAGGGTTAGATATCACCAATAAGTTCTAAGAAAAAGAAAAGACACAAATGCAATTAAAAACAAAACAAATTTCCAGTGAAGACTGTGGCATGTAAGTGAGGAAAGTAACAGTTTAGATTGTGGGAAATTCTGAAAGGCAACATGATTTTCTAATTCCCAACTTCAGGTCCCTCTTATTCCAACTTGCTCCTATGAGTAGAGACTCACTTATTTAGCTGGTAATCAATCCTAACCTATGATTTCTCTTCATAAAATTAGATGAGATAAATCCGTCTGAATTATGACCAGGAAGAACCACTCACATACTCATATAATCAATCACTTTATGCATAGAAGAGTGTATCACTTGGTTAGTTTTCAAAAAACTGTGTGCATGGGCCTAGAAAGCAGTACAAACCTGGGGAACATTCAGCAACATCGCCTTTATAGCCAGTTTCTTCCTCCAGCTCCCGAAGCGCAGCTGCTTCTGGGCTCTCATTGTCATCAATGAGACCTGTCAGATGGGAAAGGGAAGTCTAGTTTATTTTTCTAACAAAGTTGTTGCTGAATGTTGTACAAAGTAGTCTTACAACTAAAACTGACTGAAGTTTGGGACTTTTATACAGTATAGAGAAAAAAAGACAAAAGAATAAAACCCTTGGCAGATTACATAGGTTCTGACTGGTATCTTCTATTCCTTATTATTTAGATCTCGATTAACATTAGCATTTGTGAGGAAAATGCTTTTAAAGCAAGCTGTGTGACTATAGCATAGAAATTATAATCTTCTGTTTTCTTATATCTAAGATGGTGACAATTTTACCTATCTTGACTTCCTCCCTCACAGAAAAATACTGAGACCTTGTAGTGACATGCCAGAGAATGGACTGAAGGCCATGGGTTTTTGGTTACCACAACGGTCAGGGTGCACGATAAGTACAGAGGGGTCAATGGGAGGAGAAAGTTTCCTTCGTGGAAAAAAACTGTAACGAAAATGTGAAATGTAGGCAATGTGGTTACTTTTAATGCTATTAATGTCTTTGTAAGACAGCAAGTAAATGAAAAAAAAAAAGTTGTTATGTTACCATGGCTGGGCTTTCTGCCACTGTAGGAAATCAGACCTGGACTTTGTACACACAGTGCAAGAGCTCTACACTGAACTACGAAACCTGTATCATGACTGATAAATAATGGGACAACATCTTTAGACAGAGACAACCCAGAAGCCCTACAGTAATATAGTGTCTTCAGTTCCGGATCTCTTCTTTAATTACTGTGTGACTGAAAAAAATACACTCTTTGAAACTGAGAATCTCCTTGGCCTAATTACATACAGCAGGTCAAGGTATCTTTCCTATGGATGGTTTTTGGAGTTAAGAGCCTGCCCTACATATTATTGTAAATTTCTTACAGGGACAGAACACTAGTGAAAGTGAAATAAGATGACAAATTAAGGAGCAGCAATTACTCCAGGAGAAGCTGGAGAGAACACTCCGGAGGTCAGCAGGGTGATGTGGAGAGGCCCACATGCTGACCCTCACACTGTCTTCACATGTGGCTACTCACCTGGAGAAGCCTCGTGATGGAAATGGTCTTGTTTTACTTATAGCCACATGTATATGGTCATATAAAAAAGGCTAAAGAGGACATACTGCAGTTCTCAGGCATTGCCCTGACTCAAACCAACCAACCCTGAGAAAGTGAGATTGACTTACTCACCTGCAGGGAACTCCAGGCAGTAGCCGCCCACTGGTGGTCGGAACTGTTTTACCAGAACGATGCACTCATAATGAAGAGTCCTTTGCAGCACTGGGATAACTGCTACGCCTGTCACCAGAAAATGAAACCAAGGACAGCCTAAGAAAAGCTGGCCAGACTATCAGTTTGTTTACAGCCATCCAACTAAACCCCCTGAGTGTAAGAAACTCTCCCAAATCTACTCTGAACTTGCCATTAAGCAGGAGGAGGTTAACTTAGTGCTGGCAATTAACTCTGGAAGCTATTCTCATTTTTTTAAAAAATTCACACTTCTATGTTCGAATTTTTTTCTAACTAAAGAGCTTATTTTAGTTGTTGCAATTTTTCTTTTGAAAAAGCAAAAGGGTCTTGCTCTGTTGCTCAAGCTAGCCTTGAACTCATGATTGTCCTGCGTCAGCCTCCAAGTAGCTGGGACTACAGGTATGAGTCACCATGCCCAGTCACAATCTTCTAAAAAAGAAAATTAAAACTGAGACCAAACAGTCCACACAGGAACAAGGACACGAAACTGTAGCCCACATTAACCTCTACACAGAACCATTTCTCGCTGTGTGGCAGCTAGATCACTGGTGATGTTGAAGAGATCTCTGTGCTCTTGATTTACTTTAAGCAATAAACCAAGTTTATTGTTTCTTTACATACTAAGTAGACTTTTACTGTTTTAGGCAAATGATGTATTCTTTCAAATTGTGTGGCCTTACTTGAAACAAAAGTCACTGGCTTCTAGAACACGCACATACCACCTAGGAAGAATGCTCAGCTTCTCCTAAATATATCTGCATTGGTTCAGAACAGCAAATGCAGCCAAGTTACTGTTTGCTGCCAGGAAAAACAGAAACCAAACAAATGGAAAAATAAAAAGTAAAGGAAGGGAGGAGTTCTCAACTTCCCTACAACTATACATGACTGTCAGGATTGTTTCTGGGGTCTCTGCAGTTCAACCATTTGTGCCTGGAAGGGAAAATGAGCCGAGGAAATAGTCTTTTCCCAATCCATTTCCTCAACTCAGGAAGCAAGTGATGATCAGCATGAAGTTGTGCCACATTATTTTTTAAGGCTTTCCCCCAGATCTTCTGAACAGAGTATGAGTCTAGAAGTCTTAACATACATAGATAGACACAGCATGTGGCTTTAAAAGGTATCAATTTGGTTGACATAAACAGCAGTGCAGGGCCAGGGATATAGCTCAGTGGCATAAGCACTTCCCTGGCAAGCCTGAGGTCATAAGTTCGATTCCCGGTATCAAAAAAATTTTTAAAAATAAAAA